TCACATATCATTACCCAGCTATTTTTACTCAGCCAGTAAAATTCAATGATAGTCACATATCATTACCCAGCTATTTTTACTCAGCCAGTAAAATTCAATGATAGTCACATATCATTACCCAGCTATTTTTACTCAGCCAGTAAAATTCAATGATAGTCACATATCATTACCCAGCTATTTTTACTCAGCCAGTAAAATTCAATGATAGTCACATATCATTACCCAGCTATTTTTACTCAGCCAGTAAAATTCAATGATAGTCACATATCATTACCCAGCTATTTTTACTCAGCCAGTAAAATTCAATGATAGTCACATATCATTACCCAGCTATTTTTACTCAGCCAGTAAAATTCAATGATAGTCACATATCATTACCCAGCTATTTTTACTCAGCCAGTAAAATTCAATGATAGTCACATATCATTACCCAGCTATTTTTACTCAGCCAGTAAAATTCAATGATAGTCACATATCATTACCCAGCTATTTTTACTCAGCCAGTAAAATTCAATGATAGTCACATATCATTACCCAGCTATTTTTACTCAGCCAGTAAAATTCAATGATAGTCACATATCATTACCCAGCTATTTTTACTCAGCCAGTAAAATTCAATGATAGTCACATATCATTACCCAGCTATTTTTACTCAGCCAGTAAAATTCAATGATAGTCACATATCATTACCCAGCTATTTTTACTCAGCCAGTAAAATTCAATGATAGTCACATATCATTACCCAGCTATTTTTACTCAGCCAGTAAAATTCAATGATAGTCACATATCATTACCCAGCTATTTTTACTCAGCCAGTAAAATTCAATGATAGTCACATATCATTACCCAGCTATTTTTACTCAGCCAGTAAAATTCAATGATAGTCACATATCATTACCCAGCTATTTTTACTCAGCCAGTAAAATTCAATGATAGTCACATATCATTACCCAGCTATTTTTACTCAGCCAGTAAAATTCAATGATAGTCACATATCATTACCCAGCTATTTTTACTCAGCCAGTAAAATTCAATGATAGTCACATATCATTACCCAGCTATTTTTACTCAGCCAGTAAAATTCAATGATAGTCACATATCATTACCCAGCTATTTTTACTCAGCCAGTAAAATTCAATGATAGTCACATATCATTACCCAGCTATTTTTACTCAGCCAGTAAAATTCAATGATAGTCACATATCATTACCCAGCTATTTTTACTCAGCCAGTAAAATTCAATGATAGTCACATATCATTACCCAGCTATTTTTACTCAGCCAGTAAAATTCAATGATAGTCACATATCATTACCCAGCTATTTTTACTCAGCCAGTAAAATTCAATGATAGTCACATATCATGATCATTACCCAGCTATTTTTACTCAGCCAGTAAAATTCAATGATAGTCACATATCATTACCCAGCTATTTTTACTCAGCCAGTAAAATTCAATGATAGTCACATATCATTACCCAGCTATTTTTACTCAGCCAGTAAAATTCAATGATAGTCATATGATTACCCAGCTATTTCCGAATTATCAAATTGTAACACTGAGCAACAACTGCAGTCTGACATGTCGACAACAAGAGATTGGTTACGGAGGAATTTTGGCTCTGAGAGCAAAATCAGCGAACATCGATGGGACTTCAATAATATCAACAACTGGAAACTGGAAAAGGTCCTCTGCATATATGCTGTCGCTTCGAAAAAACTCCTTATAAGTATATTTTTAGTTATATCGGTATATAAGGGGCAAATGCTCGAAAGATGCTCAAGTGTTGCAGCTAGTAATAGTCAAACCAAGTGAATTTTGGTGGGAATGGTTTTAACTACACAACGTTTATCTTTAATCTTCTTTCGTAGGATTTCAAGGCAGACAAGGCGGTGACTCTCGGGGTGGGGGGGGGGTATGGTGGTGAGTCTTTCTTATACCTTCAAACAGGAACCAATGGGAAAGGAGGAGATCTTTATGGAGCGTCATGGGCTATCAATACACACGGGATCAGAGAAGGAGGTGCAGGAGATAGTGATAGTCAATTCTACTACGTTTACTTCTTTGATAGAAACGGATTATAAAACATAGTGGTTCGATAATCGTATCTCTTAATGATTGTAATGATGTTGTTATTTAGCCTTGCAATGGGGTCCTGGAGGATACAACGCCGGAGGGGGAGGAAGGGATTCTGCAGTCAATAACAATGACAGTGCGGGTGGAGGGGGAGGAGGTGGACACTTTTCTGGTGATGGGGGAGGGGATGGTGGAACTGGTTGTACCAACAAAGAAGGAACAGCTTCAACTGTTGTAAGTAAATTTTTCCTTTTTCAATTGCTTTTCTTTTCCGTTTGTCTCTTTGCTATACTGCCAAATTTGCTTTTACAGTAGCTAGCATTATTGTTTGCGATGCTTCTGTCAAAGCTATAATCTTGGGTATTGCGTTGAAACAAAATCAATAATTTACATTCAAAAAGACTCCTGATTATTTCTTTAAAACCTTACATTTGAAGATTGGCACTTACACCGGGGGTGGAGGAGTGGCGAGATGCCCAGGGGGTGATGGTGGGGACGGAGGTCAGCAAGGCCAGCCTGTTCAGGGTAAATATGTGAGTGCTTATGGCGGAACATCTGGGACTGAGAGCAGAGGAGGAGAGGGAGGTCAACATTTAACCGATCCCCTGTAACATTTCCACGTCAATAATTTCTTTCGAACCTAAAGGAATCGTACTGAACCGCAAGAATCACTTCTGACCTAGTCTTGCCATTTCAAGTTCTCGCTGAAATTTTAGGGCTCCAGCTGCTTTACCCCATCGATAGGCTAGCAGTGCGCACATGCTCGATGTTATGGTGAAGACCTTTTTCTTTTCAGGGGATTTATCGCGTAACACATATCATGGTGGTGGCAGAGGAGGAAGTAAAACCATAAATGACCGTTTTTAAGTTTCTTCATAGTACCTTCTCTCGGTGATCATAAACTCTAGGTAGGTGCTTCTAAAATGATATCCTGCAAGAGGTGAAAGTAGATTTCTTATTTCCACAAGGTCTCAGGTTAGATTCAACGTAACATCCACTGGGATATTGACCATAGCAAATAGTCCTTTAATGGAGTAATCTTGAAAGAAAAGATTGTGTGATACACACAGACATTGGAACTTGACGTCTTTATAAATCATCCATTCCCTTTTTAATACTTTAAAAGGCCCACAGTAAAATTACACTGCCAATTGCACTAATAGAAACACTCAGATCAATCACTTTGTTTAGGAGGTTTAATATGCGATACAGTTTTGAAACAAGGTACAAAACCTCTGCTCTTGGTTTACCATACTGGTTAACGAGGATATGCTAAGCTTAACTAACTAATTTTCCTATGATATTAACTGGCGATTATGTTCAATTACGTCCTAGGTGGAATGTAATTTGGCAGCACAGACTTCACCAAGCGACAGGGCTACAGTGGGGGAGGGGGTGGTAGAGGCGGTTCTGCTATTAACGATGATCACAACCCAGGGGGGAGGGGAGGAAATGGAGGTGGTCTGGTGTATCTCCTAGTAGGAGAACTGACCCTTGATGGAAAAATTGAATCGAAAGGTAGGACTAAAGGTATACCACAACTGGCAACGTCACCAAATGAGTAACACCATCAAAAACGCATGTCACAGGCGGAGACATCATGGTAAGCGTCTTTGGTTGGGAGGTGGGGTAAAAGGGAAAACGGGAGAAAGGGGAGGCATTCCTGTCGTACAACCCCTTCCCCTTCATCTCCTCCTTTTGCAACAGCTACGAATGCTATTTAGTTATACTAAGTTATCAGCCTGTCACAAAAGCTTTTTGCTAAAGTTAGACTCGTTTACACCGATTTTAGCAGAAAATGGACAAATTTGTAGCTGACCCTATGGAGTATTGACAGTAATAATAATAATAAAAGATTTACACCGCGCTAGTATCCTACTGTTCAAAGGCGCCTACAAAAACTTTCACATTAACACTTAAGACAGCTAATATTAATTCTAAAAGGCTTTTGTAAAAAGAAAAGTTTTTAATCTACTTTTAAAAACAGACACAGACTGAGCATTTCTAATTTCACATGGCAAAGCATTCCATAATGATGGTGCTGCTACAGAGAAGGATCTTGTGCCATATGTTTTTAAGTTATAGGATGGAGAAACCAGAAGGTGCTTGGATGATGAGCGTAGTTGACGCGATGGGTTGTAAGATGTAAGCAAATCGCAAATGTACGACGGTGCCAAGTTGTTAAGTGCCTTGTAGGTTATAAGTAATATCTTAAAAATAATACGTTGATTAACGGGAAGCCAATGAAGATTAAAAAGAACTGGCGTAATATGATCATCCTTTTTTGTAAGTGTGACGAGGCGTGCCGCGGCACTCTGGGCGTGTTGTAGCTTTTATAGTGTAGGCTGGTAGGCCATACAAAAGGGAATTACAGTAATCTAGCTTCGAAGATACAAACATATGAACCAGCAATTCAGTAGTGGTCGCTGAAAGATATTTCCTGATATAGCTAATATTTCGCAAATGATAAAATGAAAATTTGCAAATGTCAGTAAAATGATCATTAAAGCAAAAATGGCTATCAAACATAGTGCCGATATTCCTCGCCTTTTGCACGGAATGAATAGTCTCACCAGCAACTGAAATTTCGTGAAGGAGTGGTCTTGGAAGATGTTTAGCGGAGATCACCAATAATTCAGTTTTCTCTTTATTTAATTTAAGGCTGATAATACAAAAAAAAAAATGCCATTCCAAAAGATGAGAGTAATTTATATCACTCTGACAGTTTATTCAATCATTCTCCGATGTTCTCGCTGTTTCGGGTTTTTATAATTGTCGCGTTCCCGATGCCGCAGACACGTGGTGTTGTGCACCGGAGTTCGCCAGTATAACCACAGTGTTGAACTTTAGACAACTAGCAGCATCAAACTCTTTATTCACTTAGTCTGGCAGTCTTTGTACAGCACAGGCGGTAAAAACTATAGAACGGATACATAAAGGTTCGATATAAGGAAAACCGAAAGACTACGAAACTAGAAATGATAAAAATGAGGAATATTACAAGCGTAATTTACATCGGATCTTGACTCTGGGGTAGAGAACTCCTAAACTCCGTTCGGCTCCGAAATGGTTTCGCTACAATGACTCCTCGCAACTCAACTACTCCCTGATAGAAGGCGAATTTAGTTCTAACACTTTGACGTAGGGGAAGTAGAAATGAATGGTGCTTTGTGTAGCTAGCTTCGAGCGGATATTCGCTAGTCACGGAATAGAAATCAAACAAAGCGCGCTAACAAATTTAATGGAAAGTCATCGAAAGTTTCTTAGTGTCTTTGTGCTAAAATCGGAAGAGTTACATAAGTAAAAAAGATTAGAGTTCGTATCCGTAAACGTGACAATAATCATGTTAATCCTCCAGGACAATCAGGGGAATGCCTAAACATGAAGGCACACAGATCTGCTCCCGGGGACAGTGGTGCAGGTGGAAACGTAGTCATCATAACTAAATCATTAAATGGCAATCCGAACAACAAAATTGAAGTCGAAGGTGGTATCCCTGTGGATTGTGCTTTTGGAACTGGAGGAGGTAAGCTAAATCCCCTTTCAACCCCACCCCATTATTAATGAGTTTTGAACTGCATTTGCTTGTCTATTCAAAGGAGAAAAACATCCATTAACACTGACTCACCGACTGTCTGCCTGATTGACTGACTGACCCCCCACTGACTGACTGACTGATTCTCTGACTGACTGACTGACTGACTGACTGACTGACTGACTGCTGACCGAATGAGTGACCAACTAAGAAACTGATTTTAAAGTTCTGATGTGATTCATAAGTTGGTAAGTTCGAGGTAACTGGCTTACTTGAAGGGAAAGTACGGTCTAGAAAAAGTTTATCTCAATTAGAAGACTTTTTCTCAGCAGTTCGAAAATAACTGCCATTTTTTCTAGTTTGCTTTGTATTAGCGACAAGAGCGCTTCGAAGTTGCCCATTTTTAC